TCACTAATTGTGTATTAAACATTTGAGACTACCTTTGAAATTCAATAATCACCATTATCAATTATTAATAACAACTGTCAGTTTTTTCAAAAATTAACTTTCAATGATCTACGCATTATTACTACTCTTGTCACGATAACTGTAGTTACATTTCTACTTCATAAAAAAAGAAGTCATCCCGATATACATTCACTGACAGCAGTATAGCAGGGTAATGAAAAGGATTTGTTTTTGTTTTTTTCGAAGTTAAATTTTTTTACAAAACTCAGATGGAACAATGCGAAAATAGTTGATTTTTGTAAATAATAATCGGATGTAAAAATGTCAATTCTTACATCCAATAAAAGCACTTTATTCTAGTTCGATTTGAACGAATCAGATAACAAAGCTGCAACATTTACAACCAATTAAAAAATTATTACAGGTGACAAAATGTTTGTTCATTTGCACTTGAGCACACACTTTCAAAAACAAATTCACCAATTGCTAAATTTTTTTCACATCCTTCATTTTCGAAAACAAGGGTGGTAGGCGATAATACGAGCCGTGATTCTAATGTCAACCTCAAACGGCGGAGGCAGTAACCATCAGAATGAAGAAACCTGAGCTATGTGTACAGAAGAAATATCTCCAACCCCTACTTCTCCCTTGGCCAACCTAAGGCCAATTAATGAACAATCATCTTAGCTATTGTATGACTCAATTTGACTATGTACTTACGACCTTTCGTAGTCAAATGTAATTGTCTCTTATCTTTATTCACAAATCTTTGTATTTTATTATTATTGGTTAAATATCATTATTAATCCCCCCTAAACATGATTCATTCACATCGCATTGATCCCTCCTTATTACGTCTCACTAATTTTTCACACATTTAGTCTTCCACTTGATCGAATTGTAATTGCACTATCATATCTCTCTCACCCTATCTGACCCATATTTATATTCTGATCACAGATCTTAAATTTTCACTTTACGTATATACAGATTCAAGTTAACATTTTATATGAGTCATATCAACATTAACAATTTTATTCTATTTGATTTGACATTCCTAAATTTACATGCATTAAACGATGTACTTAAATATAACATGATTCATCTGCACGTTCATAGTTTAATTCACTTTGAAGGGAGTATAGCAAGTACTTTAGTTATTAAAACGACAACACTAATAATTATCCCATTATTGTTGTATCGAAACAGAAGAAGCATTATTAATAGAAGTACAAATGACTGGTGATAAAATACTTGTGTTTGTCAGTATGATAGTATAAATGGCTCTACTGTACATAAGAAGAAATTTTCCAAGTCGGTCCCTTCTTTATCAAACAACTGTAAATCAAAATGTACAGCAAAAATAATCGAAAAGAAAATCTTCTTTGTTAAATTCTCTTCATTTTTATTCAATGAAGTTGAATATGTAGCGATAGTGAAAAAAATCCACCAGAAATTGGAAGAGATAACAACATAGCGCAGTAGTGAAAATTAATTAGTATTTATTTTTTGAAGATGAAGCCACTTAAAGAAAGTAGTGATGTCACAAATAATAATTAAGATATGAAATGAATAAAAAAACTTTTAAAGAGGACAATAATAAGGTCAAATATTAGAATGTTTAAAATGTAAATTAAACTAAAGGGATTATGCATTTGACACATTATTTATTTGAACACATAAATATTGGTACAAAAGCACCAGATATATATGCGACTCACAAATCTCATTCGATTTGTGTGAGGGCTGTGATACTGCCCAGGTGCCCAGACTGAAGCAGGTGGTTTTCTTAGCCGGCCACACCTCGAGCCTTTGACCTAAAAGTCTGATCCACAAGGCAGTGGAGCATCGTGAGGAGATGCAGTCCCATGGTGGCCGGTGACCAACAATAGGTTCATACGCCATTTGTTCCCTCAGGATACTGGAGCCCATGTGCACCATTGGCTTGGAATCAGGGTTTTCCAACTCTCCTAGGTGGACTTCCCGTGTCCACCAACCCGGTTAAAGCGCTGGACATTCGCTCTTCGTCCTCTCGCTTTCGTAAACAACAGTAATGCCACGAGAAGGCAGTGAGTAGGACTTCCCTGGCAGAGGCTATATATTCGCGTGGCCATATGAGAGCATTTCGAGAGGGAGAGCGGATTCTCCCCAATCTCGGCCTTACCAGGGCATTTGAGATATTTGACACACTACAACGACATAATTATTTCACCATGCCAACAATAGATTTACTGCACTTTCTTTCTGTATACAAGGGTCATGTCGAAAGCACTTGATGTCAAATTCGTCTGCAAAGTACCGTTTCCTGTTAGTTAATTATTTCGAACGTCTTTGTGATATTCACGTTGTCCACTGCCTATAAAATGTTGAGTGAATGCACCTGTAAGCACTTCACTTTTCTTCAAACAGTTTTCGGGGAATATGTTCAGAAAGCCCTATAAGTGCTCTTATTCTAGTCCTTCCTATGTACTTGTCATTACGAGGACATATACACTTATGAATACAATTGACGGCGATCTTAGAAGGGTATCGATACACTTTAGCTGGTTTACGGATCATTTAATGCCATATACTGGAAGTACAAATTTATCGAGAATTTCAAAATGTTTGTAGTGGATTGAGAAACGGTCATCTCATTGCGAGACCTTAAAACCTTGAGGTTACTGACAGAAGGAATAATGAGTCCCCGATGATGAAAACTCTAGGGCCATTTTACACTCATCTGACCAATCTCAAATAAAAAGAAACGCAGACACCAGATTCCACTGCTATCTGCAAGCTAAAGACACTAGGATTTGTAACTAAACGTTGTATTGAAGAACACGCTGAGAAGTTATGTATGTCAACAAATGCATCAGAATTCAGTGCTGGTAAATACAAAACCCCCACAAATAAGCATAATTTCGGTTGAACTAGTGGTCATTTGGATTCATTAGCTCACTGATAGTCCATTGGTACTTGAAATGATAGTTTCAGGGCTCAAAACTTAGTATGAATGCGAATCTGTGGATGAAGGTATACTCATTTTTCAAATAAGGCGAAGAGGGTATCATAAATAGCACTAGGGATCAGAATTCAGACTTACCAAAAATTACAAACCTTAAGACATATCACCTCACTAATTCTTACATATTTTCAAATTATTTTACTTGATTGCCAAACTTCTTGTATATCCATATTATTTGTTCTAAGTTACTAACATTTGAAGACAGTTACTTCTGTTTAAAAGGTTACTTTAACATTGGTAGACTAATTACAACTTGGGCATATTACAGACAGTTTGGACGTTTGTTAGATGAAACATAAACACCAAGTAACAAAAGAGGATAAACTATCTGAAACAATGGTAAGCAGAGATGGATAGGCTATATTGAGGCTATACGCACAGTATGTACATATGCCAACTAGGGACTGACCAGTTGCAGTCCTAACACATCGATGGGAAGATTCAAACCAACAATACTAAATAAATTTATCGGAAACGATGTTGATATAATGTCATAAACCCTTAGCCCTTCGAGTGCCGAAATGGACATCAATGCTGAGATGCAGGCACATCTGACAGAAGAGTCCTAAAAGGGAGTCCTGTACTCCACTGACAGACACCCTTCACCTCTGTTCATAATGCTTGTGAATTAAGGGAAATATCAAGGCAAATCGCACAAAAACCACATATGCCCAAAGGAATGGTCAATTGCAATCTTAAACATTAATGGGAAGATTCAAACAACCAATAAACATAAATTAGCACTGTTTTTTAATTTAGTTGTAATAAACCACAATGAACGATACTACTCAAATACATTTGCGAGTATGCTTCATTTTTAAGAAATCAAACCTCTGACTATATAACTTAGTTATTAGTGCTTCCTCGAAGAAGTAGATTAATGATCTGAAGTTTCCTACTATCTTACGTTAATGTTACAAATTATTATGATGTATTCACATTCTGTTGATAAGTTCTTTACAAAACAAAATAACCGGCGTGTTATAATTGTTTTGCTAATAAACGACCCAGCTACTCCTATTGCTTAGTATTCATATCCGATGACACTCGACAAGACCCCAACATCAGAACACGTTGAAAAGGAACGAAATTGTATTCAAAATAACAAGGGTAGGTGAACAGCAATCAATCGTTAGAAAAACGTTCATATATTTATAGTATACGCATAAGAAGCTTCTAGATTTTTCGATAATGTAGTAAGAAGACGAAGATTATATCACATAGTTCTGATAATCTTCGTCTTCTTACTACATTATCGAAATTTATCAAAGGGACTAATTGCTTTAAAATTCTAGATTTTTCTCCAATAATTTGCCAGAGCTGATTGGTTTAGAATTAGCCAATCAGCGCGCGCCATCACATCATGCACATAACATGCCTTAATCCGGTTTATTTCCCGCTAACACGGCGATAAAATTCGAGTGCTGTCTACTAACATTCATAAACTGTCAAAATGTTAAGAATACAACAGTAAAATCTATTAAATGAATCTGCATTTCGAATCAAGCTAACTGATTCGAGTCGTCAAACAGTTCTCTGTCATTTGTAGTATGTTTAGCATAATAATAAAGAAAAGCTTTCCTACATTAATCCTAACCTTATTCTAATAACTACGCAGAGTTGAATATCATTGTATAAAAATAAAACTATTAAGCATTAAACATTGTTTACATAACCAAAACCAATATATGAGATAAGACAGAGAGTGTATTCAGTGGTTAATAAATGTTTAATGCTAGATTTCCGATAATCATACAAATATTGCATCCAATTTATATATATATATATATATATATATATATATATATATATATTCCAGTATGTATCTGTTGATCTCTATTAATTAAGTGTAAATTGCATATTATTTCTCAAGTGTAAATGGGAAGCGAGGTGATAAACAGCGGTATAAAGAAAACGATGTGATACTCTCTCTACAACATAGTTGATTAAAAATGAAACATTAATCTGATGGTATACAATTTACTAGATGATTTTACAATGTTTGTGATATTTCCAATGCTTCCCATAAAGCATTGATATTATTTTCACCGAAACCAGTTGATTGATTACGACGTTCAATTAACTCCATGAAAAATCCATCTTTCTGAAACAATGGTTCAGTAAATATTTGTAGTAGACTTCTAAATATTCACAAATGAGAAAAAAAGAAAGCAGAAAAGCAAGTGTGGTTATGTAAGCAGATGAACAAATTAAAATATAATAGATAGATTGAAAATTATGACTCATTCATTGTAGTTTTAATAAAGTATACAACAGAAAATAGAACCTCACTAATACCGTACTGAAAATTTTGCAAACAATCTCTTTATTGTCGCATGTCATTATAAATAGGGTTTGGCAAGTTCAAAAAGCGTTTCCTGTTTTGTATATTTATACTACCTTCAAAAATCGATCATACTTTCAATTTCGTAAACAAAAAACCTCAAATTTAATGGACAGAAATTTTCATTTCTTTTCCAACAAAAAAACCCAGTTTATTCTTTGAAAAAAGAAGACGAAATGTTGACAAATAAACATACAATAGTAGCGTATACAATTAATTTTAAATCCATTTGATTCTTAATTGCTTAACTTTGTTAAAATAAATATGAGTAAATTTATTTGTCTTCGTTCATTAAAGTGATATGGACGATATTACCAGATAGTTTAAGTAATATTCATACTCACCGCCCTCTCGTGGTGGGGGTATTGTTTACGAAATTGAGAGGACAATAAGCGAATGTCCAGAGCTTTAACCGGGTTGGTGAACACGGAAATTCTACCTAGGAGAATTGGAAAACCCTGATTCCAAACCGGTGGTGAACATGGGCTCCAGTATCCTGATGGAACAAATGGCGTATGAATCAATCGTTGGACACCGGATACCATGGGACTGCATCTCCTCACGAAGCTCCACTGTCTTGTAAATAAAACCTTTAGGTCATAGGCTCGGGGTGTGGCCCGCTAAGAAAACCACCTGCTTCGGTCTCGGCACCTGGGCAGTATCATAGCCCTCACACAAATCAAATGAGATATGTGCGGCGCATATATATCTGGTGCCCCCATTCATAACATAATCTAATGATAACGTTGAAAAAATAAGTAGTATCAGGATTTGTTTAAATAAACAAAGTTAATTTGATACAGATAAGTGAAATCATAAAACAGATTTTTATTTTAAAAAAAAGAAAGATTAATTTGAGGTAAAACAATAAACAAATGCTCAAGCTTGTCCATTCGATTTTCTGAGTGAAGAAGGTAGTGATGCTTTTCATTTGTCGACAATGGCTTTGGTAAAGTAAGAAGGCAATATTGGGAATTTATAAGTTTTAACAGTTAAGTTAACATTACCATGAGCAAAACTTCTGCTATGTCCTTGATCGATCTACCCACTAATACGCAGACAGATTGTCTCAATCTAGATTAAGACATTGACAAGATGACTGACTGATCTAACTCTGAGGTTAGTACGAGTGAGTTCAAAGTGAAACTAACTGCTTAGGAGTGGAGAGACGAAAACTATTCTCTCACCTGACTGGCTGACAAGCGCGCGAGAGAGAAAACAAGTCAACTGGAACACTACTTAATTTATTCTCAATTCCGATTCACACTCTTATCTGGTTCCAATTTAGATTAATGTAAAAAGATACATGAATAAACAGATGACTAAACATGACCACAACGCACAAACAATTAGGAAAATATAAACTGGGGACTAGAGTAGAAAAGAGTACAAAAGATTGCGTTCAAATTACAATAACTTTGGGACAAAAAAGGATTATGGTCTGTAGCATAAACTAGGGACAAAAATAAATGTCAGTGTTTTAAAAGCTTTGAATTGAATGAAATAACGTCCCCAAAACCAACTTCCGTCGTTTGTCAAGGATTCTTGTTTTTTTGTTCACATCAACTCCAAAAGTATGGTAAATTGTGTGGGCTTAACAAAAAAAATTCATCATGTTCACTTACCCTATTTGATTACCTTCATTGTTTAACTCTTTATCTACAAGTATTCCAGATGTTTTAAGTTTTTCTAAATCCAAAGAAAATTCTTTCAAATTGATACGCTGAGATAACTAAAACAGAAATGTTATTCAAAATGATATGAAAGAAAGTAATGCTTGATTTAAGATTGAATTCCATTACAACTCTGAACCTGGATATCAACTAACATGTGTTTATTATCCGACTAACAGCCTATAGACAACTACTAACAAATTACTCAGCTGGCCATAATCAACGTAGAGCCTAGAATAGATGTATATTAGCTCAAGTTGCCATAAAATACAAAAACGACGAGATTAAATTTACGATATGAATATTGAAAGAGTTGAAACAACGTACTGAGGATGTATTTCAAAATAAAAAATATATGTATGTACGACTAATAGAATTCAGAATGCAATAGTATGATAAAGGATGATCAATTTTGAGCTCTATCACTCAAGGTCTGGTTGCGTTTATCCCGTAAACCTCATTACTCATAGATCCATTTCGATAGTATGAACATGAATAAATACGACGATAGATAAAGTTCTTACTGAATCTTACTGAAGCGTTTGCTATATGAAAATCAAAGCCCCCTCTATGTATTTAAAAAAACAGTTAGTTTTCATGGTTATAAATACTCAGAAAAGGGTTTTCTTGTCTAAATACTTCAGTTCATACTAGTACTGAAAAAGGGTAGTGCAAAGCATTTGTCCCTCAGAGTTTAGGTGTTCAACTTTGAGCCACACTGTTTGGGTGACAGGTTAGTAATATTGTTAGACCACCCAAACCGAAGTAAGTAGTGGGGGGATTGAGCCTTCAATCAACTAGTATTTTACCTAGTAAACCACCGTTCTACCTCATATTAGTACGAAGTCCCCAATATTGAGACTCTGAACTCAGTGTATTTGTTTCTATACATGATATCATCAAGTGTGCGTAAAATCACTTAATGAGTGTAATTTGGTTTAATGAGGACGCTTTTGGAAAACGTGATTTTGGGACTTGCTTTGACGTCATGTTTTGGATAATCTATAAATAAACATTTTAATTTATCAGTTTTTGTGTTGACACTTTCAGTTGTGAGAATAAAAGTAGTTCCGTTTCCCAAGAATAAGCGTTTGGATCGCAGATTCAACAGAGGCGACACTTATATAGATAATATTTGAAAACACCTTTTCCGTATTATGGAGTTACATTTCAAAGTGAAATAAATTCATGCATTTATGTTTTTTCAAAGTGCATCATCTGCTTCATAAATAATAGTAAATTTCAATCTGAAAACTGAACTGATCGTCAGCTTGATAAATTAGTGATCAGTAGTTAATACATTCAGTGTTTACAATTACTTTGATAGAAGTGATTAGTGTATAGATGAGAGATCGGGTCAATTCGCATCTTATAAACTGTTGTCTATATCTGATTATTTGGTTGCTAACAATATCTAAGTTTCAGATGAACTACGTATTAAAAATGACTAATAACATAAGAATTGAGATTTTTTCCAAGGTAACTAACTTACAGCCTCATAATAGACGTCTGGAGCAGTGATAAATTTTATACCATTTTTACGACAGGTAGCTGCTGCATCTATAATGTTATCAATGGCGAATCCCATGTGTTGTAAGCCTGGACCTGAATTAACTTGTAGAAATCGAGTCACTTGACTAGGTTCTACAACAATAAAAAACAACTTCAGTTAGCAAGTTAGGTACAGAAAAGCTTAGTTTTCACCTATATAAGATTATTTATTAAGACATTTTGTTGAACAAAAAACGTGTAAAGGTGCATCTTTTAAATCTTCATCAATCTTTGAAATTCGCTTTGAAGATACCACTGCAATTAAAAACATTGGTGTTAATGTAAATTCTGATGAGTTGTTTATAATCAATATAAGGCCTGCTATGTATGTGTACACGCCTAAATCGACAAACCTCACAACAGCACAGTGTGAAAGCAAATTCAAATGATAGAAAGTAAATGAGTGGAGCTAATAATGTCGGTTAAAGTAGAAACTAAATATGAGAAATGTAGTCTAAAAGGAACAGATGAAATAGCACTAAACTCAATTCGCAGTAAGGAAATAAATGGATTTTAAAAAAACCGGTGAGACGAATTCAGGGTTATAATATCCAAAATTTTAAACCACAGCTTAAAAATAATGAGCCCTTCCTAAGCTGGAACTATGCATCTACTGATCTGCATCCGAATGTCCTGGTACGGTCGAGGGTGGGGAAGAGTCTGATCACCTTGAAATGCTCTTATATGGCCACACGTATACAGCCACTACCAAGGAAGTCCCGCCCACTGACTTCTCACGGCCAGAGTGTTGTTCACAAAATTGAGAAGACCAAGAGCTAACATCCGGTGCTCTGACTGGGTTGGTGGACATGGAGGATCCACTGAGGGGGTTAAAAAACCCTGATTTCAAACCGGTAGTGAACATGGGCTCCAGGATTCTGAGAGAACAAAAGGCGTATGTGTTATATCCTAGTGAAGACGTAAGCACTGGTAACTTCCAGGACCTATTAATCGACTATTGTTCTATATATATTCTTATGGATTAACTACTGAGTAACTAAATTGTGTATATCTATACTCATCTTATTATAAGATTCATTTTGACCTATAAATTATTATCATACGATTTACTATTCCCAAATTATACTCAGTTTATTGATTACTGTCTCCCACGTTCATAGCCACATTTTGGGTTTATTGTGTATAAATGTTACTTCCTATTTTATGATATGATGAGGTCTGTTTGGCTGGTATATAAACCAAGTATGCTTGACATAAACGATTCGCATGGCAGAAGCTGTTATTGGTGTTCTGGACTCAACTGTAAGGACTAGGCGGACAAGGGACCAGTAAGGACGCTAGACTGCTCATACCGGTTGAACGTCATCGGTGTGGCACAGTGCTAAGATTGGATAAGTCGTATTTCGATTGGTGGGTTATTCACGTGATAAAAAGCAGGAGATAAGATCAATGACAAATTAGCATACAGTCCTATTTTTTGAAAAGTCATAACACTATGAGCCTGTTTTTGGCCACCGACTACTATGGGACTGCTTCTCCATATGTTGCTCCATTACCCTGTGGATCGGACCTCTAGTTCAAAGGCTTGGGTAGTGGCCCACTTAGAAAGCCACCTGTTTCAGTTTGGGTGCCTGGGTAATATCCCAGCCGTATATACATGCTAATCGAATGAAAAAAACGTACGAACTGCATTTTGATCCTTGAATATTTTAATGAAAATGTTAATTCTAGCCAACACTGTAAACCAGTAGAATTAGCATCGCACAGGTAACTAAAAGGGTCTTATGACATAAAAACTGGGTGTTTTGTGTAACTGGGAAAGTGTTTTCTAAACGACCAGCAGGGACAAAAAATTTATTTGAAAGGAATTATTGTTCCACACAGGATAGAAAAATTAAAGCGCTAAAAGTCTTAAAAAGTAAACCTATGCCTGAACGAGAGTCCGTTAAGAATTACGCATTCTCTTGTAAAAATAGTGGAAATACATGCTTCTTCTTAAACATTACGTCACCGTAACCGTAGAACGATTTATTACGGTTGGCCAAATGCAGTATTACATCGAGACCTGCTGTTGTTACTACCAAGACAATAGTTATTGTAATCTTTCACACCTTAATATTTGTAATGTTGCAACTTTACTTCATTCAAGTCTATTTTTGTTTATTAATTTTCTCTGCACAATACCATAGATACGTTGGTGTTTACTCATGAGTCTTTCCTTGAGACAAAAACTCTCTTGGTGTTATGACTCGTAAGTTGAAACGCTTTATTCGGATCCTAGCTATTCGGATAACCCCAGGCTAGCACTACTCAGCGACTTGGAATTGGGAATTCGAGTGCTGGATCGGGTTGGAATAAAGTGATTAGTGTTCCATCTGTCTTGGTTTTCTCTCTCTCTCTCGTGCTTGCCAGCCAATCAGGGACAGAATAGTTTTCGTCTCTCTACCCCTATTTCGAACTCACGCATATTAGCCTCAAGGTTAAGCCAGTCAGTCTATCGTGTCAAGGTCTTAATCTACATTATACTCGGCACTAAGTGGGTAGACAGATTCAAGGACGTAACACTTGGAATTCCTTTTTTTCTCTTCCACTTATTCGCACGTGGATTGTCATCGCTGAAGTGTTGTTGTTCATTTGCTGATTGATCTAATTAGTTACATTAGATCCGTTTCGCTTTAAAGTAATCTCAAATCTAGTATTTGATTTTAGAACTCTAATCAATGCATTTGTACAAACCACGGACTTTAAAAAATTTGGTGAACCATTATGCTGAAATATACAGTTGATTGGTCGTGAGTCAAAAAGAACTCATCTTACAACACAAACATGTCTAAGGAACAGTGAAAAGCTAACTTTTTCTACCAATATCCTAAAGCTTTTATGCGAAAACAGATAGAAAATATATATACAGAATGAAAATTTCATAGTCAAAGCACCCGATAAAGTATGTAAACATTAACTACGTGGCGACCAATTACGAATAGTACCACTTGAATATTCCGAAAGCTACATATTCTACCCACCTCCACAAACATTTTGTGTGCTCTGATAAATTTAGTTTAGTGGAAAGACGAATATTTCAACACAAAATCTTTTAAAAATATGTTGTTTGATCTCATCTACAAGTTTTTGGGACTATTGGCGAACACTAAAGATAAATAGGTTAAAATTAAATACAATGTGGGTAGGACGACAATAACAGCCACTTAACCTCCTTTGTTGTCACAAAAACCAATACTAAACAAACGAACCATTTTTGCTTATTTTATACGTCATTTTATCACTACCAAACTTGTTTCTTGTGAATATATATTATTATGCAAAAATACCGATAATTCACAAATCAACCAACAATGAAGCTTAATGCATTTACACAACATACCTGAATCTTTTGTGGGTTCAACAAAAACAAATTTGCATGCATTACGGTAATCAGAATTCGAAGTTGGATTTCTATGGCAAACTGCCTTCAACATCATTCCAGTATTTTTGAACTTTACTATAAACCCTTGGGATTCATCTTCCTGTCTGTTTTAGCACCCATAAATGATCATAAACTATTAAGTAACTCACATATTAATGAATATGCGTTCCATTCCAAATACTGTTTTGTACCAATTCACAAAAGTATCTGAATCTCCAATTTCCCCAGCGATTGCTATATGGTCAGTATATTTCACAAAAGAATTGGGATTCGATTCATTCTCATTTAGCACTTCCTCCAAGTCATCATTTCCACTCTGTCCCGGTAATGTGTATCCAGGCAAAAACAAGCCTTTATATTGTGACGAGTCAATAATTGTATGAAGCAAATTCCCAACACATGATTTGACCACTCCTAGAACAATTTTTCCATCATAATCAGTATAAGTAGTAGGTTCCAAAAGAATATTATCAAACCCGGAAAATCGGGAAACTCTTTCACAAACTTCATGCACGTCAGCTACTTCTAAAGCAATGTCAAATGGTCCATCACGTTGTGTACACCAGTCACTGATTTCTGAGTGGTACTTGAATGAATGATAGACACTGGACAATGTTTGGATTTTGTTAAGCACTATTACCGATTGATTACTTTTTAGCACTAGATTTATTTCTGAACCGCGTTTGAACAAACAGTGGAGCGTGAAACCGAAACCCTTTATTAGTGTTTCACAAGTCTGCCATAAACTTTTGGTAGCGAATCGAACATGATGAACATTTTTTAGTAAACTCATATTTTAATTTGACCTAAAACAGTAGGTTTTTTAAAAAAAAAACTATAACAGATGACAGACTTGTGCACAAAAAGCAGTTATGTGGAGAAAAACAATAGATAAACAGTGCAACAAAAAATGGTCATGTAATATTTTGAGTAAAAACAAGCAACAGGATAATGAGCATTTATTAAAAAAGATTGAAATAAATCTTAAAATGTTTAAAATAATACCCACTCCGAGGTTTCATGCTTACTATGATTAAACACAGGCTCCGACATCAAACTAAAACACACTATCAACCATGAACTATTCGTTGGTTTGTGATACACAAAATTACTAATAGGCTAGCTGGGATTCGGAAGATGGTAATTGAGTATTGAAGAGCCTTGACAATATAGCCGAAGTTTAATCTCAATCATAAGAATTCGGAATATCTTCACATAATAATACACCTGGATGCATTATTATGAGTTATATATTCACACCTATTCCATTTGATTCTATTCGGTTTGTCATTACAAGTTAAAAATATGGACAAGGTGTTGTATTGTTTCAAGCAAGATTGATTTATGATTCGCCACACTTAATTCAAATACTTAGGTCGATTACTCGGTAATCCTAACAAACTTACTTCAGTGTAAATTTCTTAACTAGCTTCTTGTAGTGATCTGCAAATTATTTCTTTTGCAGGTCCATCGGTAAGATCTTGAGCAAGCAACGGTCGGGTTGAGCAAGCTGAGCCATGGATGGCCATTGAAAGCCTTAAAGTACACGGAGTAACTAAGAAAATTAATGACATATATTCTAGATATCTTTATTCTACCTCTAGTATTTTGAAATATACATGATGGATACTGCGGGTACGAAGATGAATTTTAAAGTCGTCCACAGAACGTGTACAAAGTGATACAACAATAACACCGTTAGTAAAACTGAAAGGATTAGTATAAACACAGGAAAAACATATCATCCAGAACAAAAGTCGTTTTAGGCAGTTCGAGAATTCCTATAGTGGGCTGTTTATCACACTAGATAGGAAATAGGTGCAGTGAGATTCTTAAGAAAACACCAGAGTAGCGCAACGAAATTTTCCCATACTTCTTGTTAACTGGTGTTTTTGGACGAAAACAAGGACAGTAGCTTCTCTGTACTCAAAACCACCTAACAAACTGTCTGACTCTACAAAACCCGTTTTCGCAATGAAATTACATGCTTTGAGTATTTTAGCAGCAAATAATCAAATAAAAAGATATAGGAAAGAAGCAGAAATATGTCACTTCAACTTTGGGGAAAAAATTTAACTCCAACATTACGATTTCGGGAGAGACCACTCCTGCACTACCAGTCTTCTGACTGGGGTGGATAGATGGACTAGCATCCTAATCCTAAGGGAAGTTGGATGTAATTTATCTCGATTTCTAAAAAACTTTTGATAGGGTCAGTTATAGATGTCTTATCAATACGCCCAAGCTGATGCACATCAAGTCAACACGGACGGACTGATGTAAGTCATATTCATAAAGTCGGATTTTCAAGTTCAGGATAAACTGATTTTCCTCTGGTCACAGAACGTCTTAATGAGCCCCAGGACCTTTTTCCTTTTAAACTTGTAAGAATGACCTTCTTCAAGTATCGTCCGAGTTGTCCTTTTCGTTTACTATGGTAAGCTTTGGAGAGACGTTTATAACCAGAACTATAAGTTGAAACTTAAGGACTAACGATACAACTTAAGCAATTATTTCTAAGTGTTCCAGGTCGAAAAAAAATCGTTACCAACTTACATATGGGCGACTGAGAGGTGATCTTTTAATGACTAGTAGCATCCCTTAAACATACCTACTTAGGTTCAGTTCTGACACTAACCTGAGGATTAATACCCAGAAATTATAGGTACAACATTGCAAAATGGACTGTAGACACACCATATGAATAGTCAAGTCCTAGAATTCGTTGCCGACTGAGGTGGTCCAAACGACTTTCCAATAGTCATTCAAGAGGAAACATGATATATTCTTAAGGGCTCATAATAGTATTTCACATTAATCTAATAACACTTCTCTATTGCTTGTTTAAAATACCTGTCTCTATCTGGAGCATCGCTGACCTACTGTTATTAGACGCACAAGCCTGTTTTTCAAAAGCCCCTTCTATTCCGTCTACAACCATCTAAATAAATTTACATTGTTAAGGAGTACACTTATAATGGTAGAAAGAGTGAATCAAAATAAGTCAGCATAATTTACATCAATGCCTCATACACCCTAAAATCTTCAAGTTGTCAGTCAGATAAACGAAAAAGATCTTTTAACACATGCAAACGACTGTCCGAAATGATAGTGACGTCTAAGAGAAGCAAATGAACTGGAAAATGAAAATGCGACTTATCAAATAAACTAGATTGAAAATTTCATGATTTAATAACTGGGTCTTGCTACTGTACAAGATCCCAGTTGATTGAGATTTACTGTGAGAAGTCACCCGGAAATAGTCAGATCTCTTTATAATATAGTACCTGAACAATAATCGCCTTCCTACAACCCAGATGCAAATGCGAAGTAACAAACAGTCTGCTATTTGTGCCAATCGATCACTGAAGCCATTAAAATAGCATTTAAACAGATCCCAACAGAAGTCCTGTAGACGAGAAGTAATAGCGAGGTTGGGAAAGTCCCCATTTATTTCAATGGTCACTAAAGGCTAAAACGATACTGTCAACAATAAATCCTTGTTCACACAACTGATCAACAGTAATTTCGGGATTTTTCCCCATAATCTACCCGGACTTTGAGGAAAACCCCGAACTTCTCTATGATCTGGAGACTGCGACGCGTATAGTTGGATTGCGAAAACATGAAAGGAGGTGCAAGACCAGGAGCGACACAAACAGAATACAAGAAAACTCGGAATGCCGGGGATAAGCAGCAGCGAGACATCTATCTCGTAACTATGGTGGAATCCAGCAAGCCACTTTTCGCTGTTGGAAATATCTATTACTGATAAGGCCAAACTTTACTGCAGATCCAACGAACGTTTCGATTTCCTAAGGGTCACAGCATCTGAACACGACTGAGCGTTAAGACGACTTTGTGAGGACTGAGCTAATTAGGATACAGAGAGTGAACGGCAAACTAAACCACAACCTCGACCTTGGGCAATTTCAGACATGACCTTGGCGTTAGTTAAAAGTAGCCAACCACAGTGCAGACTACTTGCATGGGCTACACAGCATAGGCTAAAGGGAAAAACCACAATGGAGTAAAAGTCTCAACACCAGTATTGAACTTACTAGTGCTAAATCCCGATAGCTTAGACCTTGAATCACTGTTTTGTAGTCAAGCAAGAACACATGACTTAGTCCAACATCTCTGAGGACTCGACAATTAACCTCAAACACATCAACCCTAGTTCCTAACCTTAAGACCCTATATCCCAACTCCGAACTATTACATGGCAACCTTGAAACTTTATTTCACGAAAAAACCACCGTCCAATATTCTTTAAAAACTAATTGTAATTTAAAGCAATTAGTCCCTTTGATAATTGTAATCCAAACCGTGAGATACAGCAACAAAGTATCTGCAACAGCGTTTTGGTTTCGCGCATCGGCTAGCTTAATTTTGACTGGACGCTCAAGGCCATCAATTCAGCATAGTCTCATCGAAATGAATAATTGCTTCCTGTCCTCGAAGAACTAAAATGCTTACGTACTTTCTACATGATCGACAAACTATACGTTTGAGCTAATCAGATATAACTTCTTGATATCTGAACGGATTCTAAAGAACTATAACAAACAGTCTGTGGTTTATTAAACAGCTTTCGAAGAATTCATTTGAGCGTATGAATAACTAGCTAGTGAAAATCCTGAAATTGATAAACATAATGGGTCTGAATATAGATGAAATTGAGCGATCCTTAATATAAAGATGACATGACTTATTTCCCTAGGTAAAAATAAACTAATCACTGAGATCAAAATGCTATAACATATCTGCATAGTTGACCAATCTTAAGAGCTACTAGGATGTCAGTTCGAAGAACTATTTTCATAAGCATCTAATATTTTCACTAGAAATGGGAAACGAATTTACAGCAATTAGTCTATTTGATAAATTTCGATAATGTAATGAGAAGACGAAGATTATCAGAACTATGTGATATATTAGCGCAATAAATTTCGAACAATCTGATCACACATATACTTGTTAAGAAGGAATTTACCTCTAGGGCTGACCTAGAAAGCTGCTTTTGTAGGTAAAAACGCATATTTGTTCAATGCGTGATCATTCTAAAACTGACTTTCCTTATGTACTAAAGAACTATTATCACCAACAGTGAGCCAAACCTGGCAGTAATGACGTTAACTATATTATTAAGGATGGCAAGAAGACAGATTAACTTCGTTTGGATGCTTATGAATAACTGGTTTAGATATATTTTTTAATAGCAAAGCCTTAATATTTAAGTGGTTAAAAGCCTCCACAAACATGCCTTATTGCATTACAAAGACAAACGAATGCAAAGCTACTCAAACAATCCACTAAAATACGATGACTCAATTCAAATGTCTTTCGGCAAGCCTGTAAGCCGACGGATATCGGTGGATTCGGTCGCGTGAAGTGACAGAAAAACATAAGCTCTAACATTTAGATAGTCGATGTCAAATTAGATCTAACAAAGCCTACTGTATCTCAGTAATAATGAGGTCTTTTAGACTGATAGTAACCAGAAAGGTGCTGAAGTTGGACGTTTAAACTGGGAAGTCAGAGTATAAAAATTTGTCTTTATTAATTTATGATACACGTTGAGGGTAGAGAAGAAAGCAAATCATTATAAATCTGACTGGTTGAAGACCAAGTTAACATTACAACAATCGGCTAAATTAGTCATCAGACCAATCGTCATTACGTTTGGAACCCTTTTTATTCTTTCTCTTGGACTTATTTTTGTCTTTCTTCCCGGCAGAAACTGAAGCTTCAGATGACTGAGTAATCTGGCTTACATTCGACTGCGATGAA